TTCTTTCGATTACAAATTCCGCATATAATAGAGATAGATAGTTCATATTCTTTTACAAATAACATATACAAGTAATTTTTCAAAACAGATAAATATTAATCAACCAGAAAAAAATGAGCTATACTAATACATATTTTTAAATAATTTTCAGCTGCTGCTTTATTTTTCACCAATGCACTCATCGATATTCTTTTATCTCTTTTATCATTAAAATTGTATCCTCGAAGCTATGATGGATAACATTAATATCAGTGTTATTATTCATCCAAAAGTAAATAGCGTTCACTCCCCAGTCTTTTAGAGAACAGAAAGAAGACCTCAAGTTGATAATTGACAGAGAACCTGTTTTCATTTCAGGGAATTATAAACATGATCAATTTATTATATAGATTTACCCGACGTGCCACAAAATAAAATGCAACTTTCGTTACGGGTTAAACTATCTTATTTTTTATGAATATTTATGTATTTGCAATAGGAAATTCTAAAAGTGTTAGTTACAAAAACTATATATATAAATACATTTCGTAGGATAATGCAGGAATGATTTAATAAGGTATTCGTAGCAGTTGGATAAGAAAGAGATCCTTTTCTGTGTTAGAATTTAAAGAAATTTGTTTGTAATAAAATTATGGATGTTCCAGAGCCACAAGCAAAATCATGGACGATTGGTGCTAAAAATAAAGGAAAAAGGAATCTGCGTTTTTTTTTTTTTTCATATAAAGCGAACAAAGCATATACATGAGCTGTATCATATGCAGGGTGATTTGTACGAAAACAAGCCTGACACGAGAGATCTTTCCACCAATATTTGTTAGGTAAATCGCCTCTTTGTCGACTCGCAGAAAGACAGTCTCTTTTCTGTTCCTGCCGCTACGCTTTCTATCAACGGTAGCGATCACGTTCCGTTATACGAGAATAAAATCGTTTAGTTTCGACATAGATTAAGCATATTACACTTGTAACTTTTAGCTGTCATCTGGTTGTTGACACACTAAACGAACGCACAAAACCAATCTAGTGAGCCCGTCTCGATTTCACGAGGACATGCACAACAAAGAAACACGCGCCCTCTTTATCTTTACAAAGCTGGCGTGGTGGTTTCCTGAAACAAGTCCAAGTGGTGAAGTGATAGATTGTCCGTGTCACGACCTTTTGGCCTCATTGTGGTTTTATTACACTCGCGATTGGGAGCTTTTGCGGTAATTTGTTTGAGATTTTTTAAGTGTGTAAAACAATGAAATTTTCTATTTAGATCATAACGGTATGGTCCTATTCTATTTGTCGCGTTATAAACCAATTAAACTTTTTCAAGCAGGATCTAAATATCTGATATTTTCATAATATATCCATTGTGAAGTAGGATATACAAATATTGTCTCTTCTTCAGAATGTCTTTGGGATTATGCGGATTATGATAAGATTAAATAAACATAAAATTTGCATAGCAATAAATCGTTTGGATGCAAACGAAAATAGAATCAGCAAAGCAGTTCATCCCAAAGAATTTGATCATTTTTCTCTCCATATTTCTCTCCGCTTTCTCCATCAACAAAGAAACTTTAATCCATCAATCCTCCTCGTGGTGCACGTGGTCAAACAACAGTCATAAACAGAAAGGTCAGAGCCAAGCGTCCACATTAGCTTAAACCGTCCTCTTTATTTCCCAGAATATAGCGCCCTGCTCGGTGTCTGGGCATGTGTTCATCTCGAAGCAAATATTTTCTTTGGCAAGTTTGGGTCCTTTGCTTGAAGGATCCAGTGCATATAGCCTAAAAATGAATGGTGCTGAGATGACCTGACACATGACACCCTCTAGCGTGAGTTGCCATACGCCATGCGTCTTCGAAGCCTCTAGGGAGAAAATGACGAAATTTGGATAATTAACACCAATCTCGCGGGTTGCGATGTCTTCAACAGGAGCAACAAACCCATTGGGGGAAGAGGCGAGGTCTGAAGTCGAAATTCAAGCTCTGAGACAGAGGGAGAGCGGATCTGAATGGGGGATACCCGGGCTTTCGAGGGAGGGCTGCTGTCAATAT